AAGTTGGAGGAAGAGATCGACCGGCGAATTGGAGCAGCCAGTGGCGTTCTGCGTGAACTAGCCCGACCCACTGTGACTAAAGCAGAGCTCAGTCTGAAAACTACGTTCTCGGTGTTCAAGTCAACCCTAATCCTCATACTTACTTACAGTCATGAATCGTGGACCGTCACTGAAAAACTTCGAACCCGGGTACAAGCTGCTGAAATGGGCTTTCGTAGCCGAGTCGCTGGCCTTGCGGGTCTCAACATGGTGCGGTATAGTGATATCTGGAAGAGCGTTGGAATACAGCCTTTGCTTCTCCAGATTGAAAAGTCACAGCTGCAATGGCTTGGGCATGTGTTGCGAATTCCTCCGGAAAAGAAAGCTAAGCAACTGTTCCTTGAAAATCCGACCGGCAAAAGGTCCAGGGGACGGCCAAGATTAACCTGGTGGAAACATATGGAAGGAGTCTGTTCCAGGCACTATTTATCTGTTGTCGTAGCTCAGACTCTGGCGGATGATCGGGAACGTTGGAAGCATTGTCTGACGCGTCTGCCTCCGCGATCCGAAAGGAGAAGCGGCGATGGAAGCTGAAGCTGGTCTGTCGATGATGGAGACATTAGTCTTCCGGAAAGAATGTTCCTCAGTTATCGCATGCTGAGCAATACCGAAATTGTCAGCCTGTCATAGACAGGCCGCATAAAGATGCTTCTTCTTTCGGATATTCGAATTTCGGCAGGAGTTTCTAATATACACCTTGTCGTAGACTCTGCATTGAATTTTGTTAACCAGATTTGACACTTGTTCCTATTTAATGGGCAAGTACTTTTAAATAAGATCCTGTCTAATGTTTTGCCGATTTTGTAGTAAACCTTAAACCCCGTGTCCTTAAAATACCTCTTGATACGTTGAGTTACCTGGTTATAAACAGCAAATTACCGCTGGTTCGCATGAACTGATCATCTTTAATTTTAAGCTGCCGTACAAAAGTTCTTCTTCAAGGATCTTCTTTCGGTAACTGTT